GTTGCACGAGCTCCAATTTGCTGGTCCTTCAGCTTCAGCAGGTGCTCCAGCCTGGCTGCCTTCATCTGCAGGACCTGCAGGAAAACACGTCCCTGAGGGTCACATGTCCACCCTCTGGAGCTGGGCAGCTTCAGCCCCGGGCTACAAGGCCACACAGCCAGCGGTCAGACCAAAGGCCCTCGAGTGGGGCACCCTGGACGGAGAAGATGTGGGTCCCCGAAATGAGCCTGACGGACCCAGGGTGATGGAGAGGACATGAGAGGGAGGGGCTGGCTTCCCTCCCCCATCCCCTCCAGCCTACTCCTGGATCCTGCCAGCCGTGGGCTGAGACTGGGAGCCTCCCGGCCTATCCACTCTGCAGCCCCTGCCCGGCCCCAGGCAGGTCCTTGGAGCACGCCTGCTGAGGTACAGTGCAGCGCCATGTGCAGGGCTCAATTCTGAAGGGAAACAGCCAAGACGCTCCCGTGAAGACCGACGGTCGGGAGGGACCGCCCAGCGCCCCTGCTCAGCGGTCCTGCCTCAAGTGCAGCCGCTGGCACTGCTGAGCCTCCTTCCGAGGGAGGCCACGCCACAAGCCTCCCCTTACCGGGAACACAGAGCCCGCCTCCCTCAAGCAGGTGAAAAAGAGAATAGATTTCGAAAAGCTCATCTGCCCTCTAGATGCCGTGTCCAAGGACAGATGGCTCCAACTGGCTGAGGCAGGGGGTCGGCCTCAGCAGACAGACCCCTCCGAGGACCCTGGGCATGGTGCACCAGCAGGCCCAGTGTGCCACCGCCCCACACAGCCTGGCCACACCTCTCCCCAGCGACAAGCTGCGAAGCAGGGGCGTCCTGAGGCAGCACGCCGATTGAGCGTGTCCAGTTCTAATTTCAGTCTACGCAGGAGGCTCCGGCCCGGCATACCCAGGCCCCTCCACGGCCCACCCCCCGCCTGCTTTATCTTACATCAGTGACAGTCACGGGAAGGGCACTCAACTGTGTCACCACCTTAAGTGGCAGGCAAACTGTTTTCCCCTCTGGGTTTCATAAAATAAAACACAGTTGACAGCTGAATAATGCAGTGAGGAGTGGCGGCGGGATGTTAGGGGTGCCAAACAGCCCCCCCCCCACCCCCGCACAGCCAATAACCCGCCTCCAGCTTTACATTCTGTCCCGCACCCTG